CTGAAATCAATAAAAATATATATTTTTTAAAAAGTTGCAGGTTCAACCTAGCAGATTTGGCTCAGTGGATAAAGGGTCAGACTGTAGACCAAAGGGTCCCAGGTGCAATTACAGTCAAGGGCCCATACCTTGGTTGCAGGCTTCTCCCCGGCCAAACCCTGGTCGGGGTGCATGCAGGAGGCAAACAATCACTGTGTTTCCACATCGATGTTTCTCTCTGTCTTTCCCTCTCCCACTCTCTCTAAAAAAGATCAATGGGAAAATGTCCTCGGGTAAGGATTAACAAAAAACCAAAACAAAACAAAAAAAGTTGCAGGTTCAATTCCAGGTCAGAACGTTTGCCCAGGATGTGCGCTTGATTCCTGGTGCAGGGTGTGTAGGAAGCTGTTTCGCTTTCACACCGATGTTTATCTTCCTCTCCCCCTCCCTTCCTCTCTCTCGCTAAAAATCAAAAACAAACAAACAAATAAAAACATTAAATATCTTTAAACTGTATTTACTGGTGTGTGAAATGCAAATAATAAAACCTACATTATATGCATGTGCTGAAGAATAAATTGAATTTAGTTAATGACACCTATAAAGAGTTTAGAACCACAGCAGTGTTTGCTTTTACTAGGCATTTGGTGATTGTGACACTGTTATATTGTACATCAGCGAGCTGAACATAAGACGCCTTAGTAAGCAAATTAATTATTTTGGAGCCTTTATTACCTAGCAGTCTCAGAGGAGTAACTCCCAGAGTTTGAGCAAAACAGTATAGAGGAAGTTTTCCCTTTATCCCTCGCCCCCCAGTCCCTTTGTCTCCCAAATATGGGTTTTCCAGACCTTTTGCAGACTTTACAAAGAGCTCTATGTATGTATTTTGCAGGCAGCTTGTAACCTTGAGCACAGCACAACTCAGTAGCCTTGAGCATAGTATATTTTCAGATAACTGGAGGGCACCTATTTAGGGGAGTAGCCAGGGATGGTGATGGAGTGGCTTGCAAGGGGAGATAGTTGAGTTTATGTTCCCTATTATTCAAGCAAGCAAGCATGTTTACAGAAGTCAAGAAGAGCAGTGTTAAAATATCAAACAGCAGTTTTTACAAAATAGAGATTATGGTAGCAAGATGGAGTACCTCTGTTTCAACACCAGGGACCCAGCACACATGGGGTTTGGACCTACACACTGCACAACAGAAGGACATGGCAAACCATTGCTGAATTTTCCAATTCTTTTTTCCCCTCTCTTCCTTTTTCATTTTACTGAGACGAATAAAATGAAATTGAATGCTTTTATGCAAGTATATAAGAAGAAATTGATCACAAATCAAAATAAGACATGCTGATAACAATCAGTGACTAGAATGCACAAGTAGGAAATAAAGCAGAATCAAATGTCATTGGAAAATTTGGACTGGGGGTCAGAAACAAAGCAGGAAAACAGCTCATGACGTTCTGTGAAACAAACAACTTGTCCATCACAAACATGTGCTTCATTCAGCCAAACAGACGTCTACACAGATATCAGCAGATGGCTAATATAGAAGGAAATGGACTATGTAATTGGAAGCAGAAGTTGTATATATTTCCTTAAAAAATTACTCTTCCTTAATTTTTTAAGGAAATATATAGTGGATTATTGAGGCATTATGTTTGTAACTCTCAAATAGTTTAGACAGAGAAAGTAAATATGTGGTAAAATAACATTAAGGGAATTTTATATTTTTGGCCAAGTTTGTGAGGAATGAGTATTTGGTGGGAATCACCAGTGAAGCCATTTGGGCCTGAGCTTTTCTTGGTGGTAGTTTTCAACCTCTTGTTACAAGTCTATTCAGATGAGCTATTTCTTCTTCTCCTCCTCCTCCTTCTCCTCCTCCTTCTTCTTCTTTTTCTCCTTCTAGCTATTTCTTCATGAAACAGTTTCAGTATTTGGTGTCCTTCTAGGAATTTGTCCATTTTTAATCTAATTCGTTGGCATACAGTTATTCATAGTATTGCCCTATAATCTCTTTTATTTCTGTGATGTCAATAGTAATGTCCCCTCTTTCATTCCTGATTTTAGTAATTTGAGTCTCCTGTCTTTTCTTCATGACCAGTTTAGCTAAAAGTTTGTCAAAATTGCTTATTTTTTCAAAAAACCAGCTTTTGCTTTCACTGCTTTCTTTGTATATTTTCCCATTACCTATTTCATTAATATCATTTATGAATGATATTTTTTCTTTTTTCTTGCTTTGGATTTAGGTTGTTCTTATTTTACAGTGTCCTAACGTGAAAGGATATTAATTGAGATCTGTTGTTTTCTTAGTGGTGCTCCAGGGCATGTTCTTATTTTACAGTGTCCTAACGTGAAAGGATATTAATTGAGATCTGTTGTTTTCTTAGTGGTGCTCCTGGCCATTCATATATATATATATATATATATATTTCTCAGAATATACTTTATTCTGTTGTCTGTATCTATGATGCAGTTTCTATTTTGTTTGTTAGTTTATTTTGCTCATTAAATTCCACATACAAGTAAAATCACATGGTATTTGTCTTCCTCTGAGTGGCTTATTTCACTTAGCATAATACTCTCCAGGACCTCAGACGTGACCAGGATTGAGAGAGTGAGTGAAAAAGGTGAAGAGATTAAGAAAAAAAAAAACCCAAACTCATATATACAGACAATAGTATTATGATAACTAGAGGCAAAGGGAGTGGAAAGGTAGGAGGGGATAAAGGAGGCTAAATGGTGACGGCAGGAGACTTGACTTTGGGTGGTAAACATACAATACAATATACAGATGATGTATTGCAGAATTGTACACTTGAAACCTATGTAATTTTATTTACCAATGTCACCCCAATAAATTCAATAAAATTAAAAAGAAAAAGAATATACCTCAAATTTTTGCCAAATTAATTCCAGTGAGATACAGAACTATTACTCCTGTAACTCTATTCCCTCTTACCCCCTTTTAGTGCTATTTTTTACATATATGTTACAAATTAAATCTATATATGTAACAGCCCCAACAATATATTTTGAAAGTTATTAACTTATATAATTTTATGTCTTGAAAGAAGCTGAAGGAGAAAGAATAAATGTATAGGGCTTGTTATATTAACTTTCTGACTTACAATATCTGGTTCTCTTTATTCCTATGAGTTCACCTTACCATCAGGTATCATATCTGTATTCTGTTATTGCTAAATATATCACATTTAAGTATGTCATGGGCCCTGCAATACAATTGTTGTATACAATTGTTTTTTAGATCAATTAAGAGAAGAAAAAAAATAATAAATCTGCATTTATACTGTATTTTATAATTACACCAGTTAAGAGAAGAAAGGAAAATAAATCTGCATTTATACTGTCTTTTATCGTTACACAATTCCCTTACTGGTATTCCTTATTTTTCCATATGGGTTTGTGTTACCATCTGAAGTCACTTGCTTCCTGCCTGAACGTCTCCTTTTCTGTTGTTTGTAAAGTCAATTTGCTAGCAATAAAGTTTCCTCAAGTCCCCACACTGTTTCAATAAAATCAGTTCTTTGGGGGAGGACTTCAGAGATCTCTGTGATGATGCACTGCCTCTCTCCCTGGACAAATATCTCTGAGCCACTGCTCCTCCCTGGGCAGGAGTGGTAGCCTCTGATCTTCCCCACTTGCCTCTCCCAGTTTGGAAACTCCTTCCTATAAGTGAGCCAAAGGGAGGGTGATCAGGCCAGGCAATCTCAGCCTGCTGTGCATCAGCTATAGCCTTCACTCTATGAGTGGGGCTGGGTGCAAGTTGGGAGCCCCAGGCTCCAGTGTCTGCAACTCAGTTGCTGGAGGGGATGAGAAACACTGGTGGCCTGCCTCTTCCAGTGACTTACCTTACCCTGCTTGAAAGAGGGAAGAGGAAGCCACATCTTGTTTACCACACTCATCAGGAGCCAGGAAGGGGCTTTTGTCAAACTGAACTAGTTAAGAAATCCTGTAAAATCCAGGAACCCTCCCATTTGCTGAGCTTTCAGAAATTCCTTTTATGGTTGTTGAGTCACTGCTTTGTAGCCAGTGCTTTCGGTTTCACGTTACTTAAAACCCTTCACTTCTAATTAAAGTGTTTTCTGAATTCCAGAAAGTCACATCACATCAGAGGGGAAATAAAAGTCGAAACATCCAGTGAAAGGCAGAGAAGTAACAAACCACTGCAACCAACACTGAGGGGGAAAAACAGGTAAGAACTTTATTTTCTCATCAAAGCAGCTTTCTCTCCACCTCTAAAGGACCTGTACTCTGAGAAATGGAGTCCAGGATAAGGTTGGGGCAGGGTGGGAAGGATTTACTAGGGTCAGTTCATTTTCCAAAGAACATGAGCATGAGGATAGGTTGCAGCAGAGCCCACGTGGGACAGGCAGTGAGGTGCAATCCCCTTGATAATCAGGTGGCAGCACATTCCTAAGTGTCACTACTGTGCTTGGAGGAATTAGGCAGCAGCAGACATGGGGCTAAGCTCAGAGTTCGAAATGCATTACAATTGTCTTTCTCTTTTGGCCAATATTGTGGTGGGTGCAGACACACTTAAATTACTGTTGTTTTTATGGAACTTGCTCAGTTCTAATCTGACTGCAGCTGACACACTGAAAGGGCTATAAATATGTTATTTTCGTGAAAAAAGAAGCATAGATAATGAGATGCAGCGTAAACAGCCACCTGACACTGTTAAAAAAGAAGAAAGAAAAACCTGAAACCCATAGTGAAAGATGGAGATTCACAAACACACCAGACATTTTAGTCATATAGATGAGCTTTGTTCCAAAGTTGGACTAGATTACTTCCTTTAGAAGTAACCCGTGTTCTGGTTGCTGGATGGAGGCTGGGTGAAAAAGGGGAAGGGATGCAAATTGGCAGTTACAAAACAGTCACAGGGAGGTAAACTCCTGCAAAAAGAATACAGTCAATAATATTGTAATAATTTTGTATGCTGCCAGATAGGTATTAGACCCATAGACGGGATCCTTTTAAGGTATACAAATGTCTAACCAGTGGTTCTCAACCTGTGAGTTGCGACCCCTTTGGCGGTCGAACAACCCTTTCACAGGGGTCGCCTAAGACCATCCTGCATATCAGATATTTACATTACGATTCATAACAGTAGCAACATTACAGTTATGAAGTAGGAACGAAAATAATTTTATGGTTGGGTCACAGCATGAGGAACTGTATTTAAAGGGCCAGAAGGTTGAGAACCACTGGGTACGCTGAAACTCATAATATTAATTGTCAGCTATAATTGAAAAATAACAAATTTTTAATAAAATAAAATGAAAAATAGCCCTGGTACACTAGATCCAATTTCTTAGGGCCGACTTCTTTCTTACCCCTTACAAGTAAAATTCGGCCCCACTACTTTACTAAAAAGTTTTCTCTTAAAAGAACCTGCATTGCTAAAGCCAACATTTGGTTTACCTGACCTCTCTGTGCTCTCAAGCATTTTTGTTCTTGCTTTCTGGAAACTGCCTCTGAATTCCTTAGCTTGGCATGAACTTTACTCATCACCTACTTCTCTGACAACCCTCTTTCTCTCTTTTTTCAGCTCTTCCTCTCCCTCTCTCTCCCCAGTTTTCTCCCTTCCTGTCTTCTTCCCGCTTCTCCTTCTCGTCTACCAAATGGAGAAACAGAACAAAACAGAAAACCTATAAGTGTATGATTAGAAATATATCTTCATCGAACAACCTTCTCCTTAGCTCTCCTGATCTTTTAATCCATATTTCATAGTCTTTGGTTCCCTTACACCACACACATGAATACACAAACATGGTTTTTAGCAACATTCAGTATTTGCAGTTATGCAGTCTTACCCCCTTTCACTTGAGGCTAATTTTTTGTGAAGCTAATGAAGTTGAAGTATAGAGCCCCTTGCTTGCACAAGCCCATACCAAGGCTTTGGGCAGGTCCAAGTCATGTTTTTCCTACAGACATACATTTTTATAAAATTTTCAAATGTAAGTTATATTAGTTCCACTTCCAGAATAGCAGTATAAGCAGTTCTGTGAACCTTCACTTCTGCAAAATAAGCACAACTAGTAGAAAAAAATACATATTTCAAACCTGTGAAAAAATGCCCTACCCAGTTTGCTCAGTGGTTAGAGTGTCAGTTCACAGACTGAAAGGTTTTGGTGAGGGCATATGCTGGAGGCAACCAATCAATGTCTCTCTCTCTCTTCGATGTTTCTCTCTCTGTCTGTCTCTCCCCCTCCCTTCCACTCTTTTAACAAATCAAATAATGGGAAAAAATCCTTGGGTGAGGATTGACAACAACAAATCTGTGAAAATTGTCCAAAAAGCATACATCAAATGATGAAACATATATTCACAAAAGTCTTTATTCATACTAGAATTAATGAATAAATATTGAAATTTTTACATATATCCAGGATGTAAACTACCCTCCAAATCATATTCTATTTTACATTTACTGTCTAGTTTAAGATTTTTTAAAAAATATATTTTTATTGATTTTAGAGAGATGACAGGAGAGGGAAAGAGAGATGAAAACATCCGTGATGAGAGAGAAACATCAATCAGCTGCCTCCTATGTGCCCCCTACTGGGAATCAAGCCCATAACCAGAGCATGTGCCCTGACCAGGAATTGAGCTGTGACTTCCTGGTTCATGGGCTGATGCTCAACTACTGAGCCACACCAGCTGGTCTCTCGTCAAAAATTTTAATGATAATCTAAAAAGAAAGTTTTCTATGGTAATTTAAAGATTTTGTTCATGAAAGTGGTTAAATTTTGATATCCTTGTCATACCAATTTTTTTTAATGTATTTTTATTGATTTTAGAGAGGAAGGGGAAGAGAGAGAGAGAGAGAGAGAGAGAGAGATCAATGAGGAGAGAGAATCATTGATCATCTGCATCCTGCATGGATCCCCCTGGGGATCAAGCCTGCAACTTCAGAATTTGCCCTGACCGAGAATTGAACCATAACCTCCTGGTTCATGGGCTAATGCTCAACCACTTTGCCACTCTTTTTTTAATGAACTATTTCAATTGAACTTCTGTAACTTTCTAAAATAATACAAATCTTGCCCTCATCCATCTCACTGTTGACACAGAACTTTTGGCCACATTGGGAAATATTATGACTCTACCTTTTTGATCAAAATAACCTGGTGAAAGTTCTTGATCTACTCAGATTGGAAATTCTAATCCACCCCATCTCTTTGCTTGCAGATAAGGTGACACCCTGGACATGGCCTCAGACATCCACATGCCAGGCCCGGTGTGCCTCATTGAGAACACTAACACGCAACTAGTGGTTAATCCAGAAGCTTTGAAGATCCTGTCTGCCATTACACAGCCTGTTGTGGTGGTGGCCATTGTGGGTCTCTACCGCACAGGCAAATCCTACCTGATGAACAAGCTGGCTGGGCAGCAAAAAGGTGAGGGGCACCAGCTAAGCTCTGCCAGATCCCTTCTCTCCACCCACACTCCCAACATGGAGTATGGTATTACAGGAAAAGCAAGTTAGAGATGTAGAGGAATATGGAAAGCTAACTTTTAATCTGTAGTTATGCTCTTATCTTTACTATAATCTGAAAGAGTCAACTCACTGTCTCTTCCCACTTTGCCTTAATTTCCCTTTTAAAAGCATAAATTTGTATTCCTTTCCTAGAATTTTATATTTAACTAGAGGCCCGGTGCACAAAAATTTGTGCACTCAGGGGGGAGGGGGGTTCCTCTTTGATCCACAAAAGCTTTAATTTTGAAGTCCAACTGATCTATTTTTCTTTTGTTGTTTATTCTTTGGTATCATATCCAAGAAATCATTCCAAATTCAATATTATGAAGCTTTCCCCCTACGTTTTCTTCTAGGAGTTTTATAGTTTTAGCTCTTACATATAGGTCTTTGAACTATTTTGGCTAATTGTTGTAGAAGGAAAGCTTTCCATTGAGTGAGATGTTCGCTGAAGGCTTTTAATATATATGGCCTTTATTATGTTACATTAGTTTTCTTGTCCTAATTTGTTAATTGTTTTTATAATAAAAATGTGTTGAATGTATTTGTGTATTGGATATTTGAATTTCTCTGTTTCTCTGTAAATTAATAATTGTTCTAGTTGTTTTTTAAATATGTTTTTATTGATTTCAGAGAGAAAGAGAGAGGGAGAGAGAGAGATAGAAACATCAATGATGAGAGAGAATCATTGATCAGCTGCCTCCTGCACACCCCATACTGGGGATGGAGCCCATAACCAGGGCATATGCCTTGACCAGCAATCAAACCATGACCGCCTGGTTCATAGGTCAATGCTCAACCACTGAGTCAGTGCCAGCCAGGCAACTGGTTGTAGTTTTGTTTTCTCTCTTCTTACCTTGATTATGTTAACTTTTATCTCCATTTTAAGACATATCTGCTATTAAAACTCCACTCCCTCTGTCTTCTCCTCTCCCCCTGAGGCTTCTCTCTGGGCTCCACGGTTCAGTCTCACACCAAAGGCATCTGGATGTGGTGTGTGCCTCACCCTAAGAAGCCAAACCACACCCTAGTTCTTCTTGACACTGAGGGGCTGGGAGATGTAGAGAAGGTATGTATTGAAGATTCAATTTGGGAACAATCCCTTCACTTCTGGGTATTCTCTACACTATTTAATTTTTACTCAAATAAGAGCTGGCACTAAACCATATGTGTTTTTTTCATTTCTGTTTACGTGCTAAGAGACCAAGTTTTGCAATCAGGGATCATGAAAATATAAGGGGGAATCGTAGAAGACTATAGTGGTCATTAGATAGTATTCTAATTATTAACAAGAGGCTGTAACAGTGATGGCGAACCTATGACACACGTGTCAGAGGTGACATGCGAGCTCATTTTTTTGGTTGTTTTTTTTGTTAAATGGCATTTAAATATATAACATAAATATCAAAAATATAAATCTTTGTTTTACTATGGTTGCAAATATCAAAAAATATCTATATGTGACACGGCACCAGAGTTAAGTTAGGGTTTTTCAAAATGCTGACATGCCGAGCTCAAAAGTTTCGCCAACACTGGGCTATAAGCTAAGCCAGTTAACACAGATGCATAAAGGTACCACAAACAAAATCAGCCATGAGTCCTAACCTGCAGAAAATTTGAGTTAAGGATTAATGTTCAGAAGTCCTAAATTGTTGTTTAAATATAAACTCTGTCATTAACATGGTGGCTTTAGCAAATTATTTCACTTCTTTTACCCTCAGCTTTC